GGGGGGGATGCGCTCCGTGCCCGCACCCGGCGAGGCCGCTGCGCGTCCCCTGCTCCGCCCGGGACTGATGGATTTACTCATCCTCCTCTCTCCCTCTCGTCTCTCGCAGGCTGCGGCATTGCCATGCTGATCATCTCCGTCCTGATAGCCATATATTACAATATTATCCTCTGCTACACACTTTTCTACCTTTTTGCCTCCTTTGTACCTGTGCTACCTTGGGCTTCCTGTAACAACCCGTGGAACACGCCAGACTGTAAAGATAAAAACAAACTTTTGTTAGGTAAGCTGGCACGGGATTTTTTTTTGTGCCCCTACCCTTTAATATTTTTTTTTCCCTTTCCTGTGGCCGTGGTGGGATTCCAGAGCATTCTCCAGCTCAGCTGCGCCCCTGGGAGATGCCAGCGGAGACTGCGGGTGTCTGTGGCCAGGGCGAGATTTCCCCCACTTCCACACCCTTTTATTTAGTGGTTTTTTTTTTTTTTTTTTTTTTTTTCCCTCTCAAGGATAAATGAGATTTTTCAGCTCTAAAGCTAAAACAGCCGAGAGCATTTACTTTTTTTATTTTTTCCTCCTCACTTCGGGTAAATCTCTGCAGGGGAGAGAGCACGGCACAAAATGCCCGAGCTGGCAGCCTCTGGATTCTGTGGAAACAGCTTCTTGTGCTCTAGCGAGGCTTATTTTGAACCAAAAAAAAACGAAACTCGTTTTTGCAAAGAAACCTAAAACATGCAATGAAACAAAAAGGGGAAAAGCTAACCGAGCAAACCCCCTCCTGGACTTGCTGCCAGCCCCAGCTATTTTTATCTCCTAGACATTTAGGATAAAGGGGGGAAATGGTGAGACCCTGTTCTCTCAGACCCTCATAACTTCTGTAAGCAAGGTGTTCCAGAAATTTAATACAGCACAAAAGTGCAAGTAAAGTGTGTGATGTAATGATTTTTGTTGCCATTTTACACCTAAACTGAAAAAAAAAAAAATATAAATCTAGACGTTATCTTTCTTTCTTCCCCCCCCCGTCCCCCCTTCTCTTCCTAGATTCCTGCATTATTGGTGACCACCCAAAAATACAAATCAAGAACTCTACTTTCTGTATGAGTGCCTATCCAAACTTGACTATGGTTAACTTCACCAGTGAAGGAAACAAAACGTTTGTCAGTGGAAGTGAAGAATACTTCAAGTAAGATATTTCTTTGTTTAGAGACAATATGGTAATCTTCCCCTAAAATCCACTCTAACAGACAACAAATCACTATTTAGAAGACTAGAAATACAGCAAATAATGCCCATTTTTTATGCGTTGGGATGATGAAAGCTACATGTCAATCTCTGGATTATTTGTGTTCTGTTCCTGTGGTTCTTAGCACAGCTGGCGTGTTGGCCCTTGTCTGGCTTTTTTATCTACTACTGCAATGCAGATAAATAAAATAATACATGATGAGAATCACTGGAACCTTCTAGAGAAACCGCTGAGAACACTGAAGCAAAACAAAATGCTGTAGGAATTTGCGCTGAGCAACTGCCTGCTGTTGCTCTCATTATTTTTTCCTCTTTACATTTTTTAAAATGTCTTTTTTTTTTTTTTTAATGTTGTTTCTTTATTCTTAGGTACTTTGTATTGAAGATTTCAGCAGGGATTGAATATCCTGGTGAGATCAGATGGCCCTTGGCACTCTCTCTTTTCCTAGCTTGGGTGATTGTATATGCCTCCCTTGCTAAAGGAATCAAGTCATCAGGAAAAGTAAGGAAAAGATTTGTCTTGGTACACTTGCAAGATAGCAGCCTGATGCTTTAAGGGAATCTCACTGTAGTTTATGGCAGCAAATTACTGAAAATTATTTTCAGTAAATGGCTAAGTATTAATGTTATGCTTTTTTCATGTCTGTGTTTTCCTGTCTAGCCAAAACATTAAAAAGAGATAATTTTTGTTTAACATTTGTTCCCTGATATTTAGTAAGTTTAAAATGAGCCCTTGGGCTGTGCTCAGCAGTCGGATGGCAAAAAAAGGTGCCTTCAAAAGCCTTCCCTATTCTGTGTGGAGTTCACTGAAGCTCTGCAAACATCTGCAGTCACTGCAGTCTCGGAAACTGTGATGTAGATTAAGACGTTAAGTAACACATTTTAAAATGAGAAGTACAGGTATGCGAATTGTCCAGGCAGCCATCTCAGCAGAGAAATACAGCTTTTTCTTCAGCAGCAGCTCTGATTTGGGTTGTTTTATCCTGAAACCTGCAGGAGTGCCATATCTGAGAGTTCTCCATCAGCGCCACTGCTAATAGCACACAGCTTAAAATGTTAGATGTTGACATAGCATAAATCTAGCTTGTTTACAAAGAGCAGGCTGAAAAGATAAGAAAGCTGGAGCAAAGTAGCTAGGTATTTCCTGGGATAAAGATAAAGGATATGCAGAGGTTTATGCTATCCTAGAAAAATCTATGGATTTTCTAGAGCTGGGCACAGGGTTTCTGATTCCAAGCTATCCTTTTGCACCTAGAAGCTGACAACATCTGTTGGGAGGTAGCTTGGAAATGAGCAGAAAATCCAGAGACTGAGAGTGCCAGGGGAAAGTTGAGATTTATTGTTTTTCCCCCCCTTCCCTGTTGTGGTAGGAAAAAATGTTTCATAAAAGGTCAGAGCCCAGAAGCAGATAGGAGAATAACTTGGGTTTGGATGTAGCAATAGGTATTTCTTTAAGTGAGTCTTAGTGGCCAGGAAATACATTGACTTCTTGGTGTCGGAAAACCTTTACTTCTGCATAGGTGAGTTCAATGTATTCCCTGCACAAAAATTCAATGGGGCAACTTCTTGAAATACCTCTTGAAATAGCAAAAAGAAAGCTGGGAAAAGAGTTTCAAAAGTCATTTCAGCTCAGAGGATTCTGGTTCCTGTGAGGTTCAGAGGTTAAGATGAAAAGGATTTGCAATGCTTTTTGGGCCAAGTGTATAGTCTAACTGGCTGTGATGCAGCTGTTTTCACTGACCACAGGGAGAACTGTGCTCTGCACTAGATGACTGTTAAGACATAGGAGACATGATCTCTGTTGAGTACTTAGACACTGTGATGATTGGGTCTGTCTGGATTGTTCCACCAACTCTTTTTTTTTTTTTTTTTTTTTTTTTTTTTTTTTTTGTGCTGGGACTGTAAATGTTGTCAGGGTGAGATTTAATTATTAAGAGGTACAAACAATAACAAAATTTTTTAGATTTAGTTACATGTAGAGAAATGTGTAGAAAACCCCCAGAACTTTCAGTGGCGTTGAATGGCATCGCTCATTTCACTTCATTGAGCTGTGTTAGCTTACTCTGAGCAAGGATCAAAAGGGATATTTTCATTTAGCTGTAAATTCCCATTGTTCCTCTCCAGGGTTTCTTCTCTGCTTTTTCTTCCCCTCTCCATCTAGAATCCCAGCTTTTACCTCTGTTGATATTAGTCCTGTTTCCAGCAGCAAGAAGAGCTGTAAAATTTCAGATTTCCTGGGAAATAAACCTGTTGTCTTCCTAGTGTATCTCCTCCCTGTTGTCTCTGAGCCTGAACAATTGCTTCCTTCAGGAAATAGTGTAACACTTGTATTCCACCCTCCCTGTCTTCTAATGGATCCAGATAAACCCTTTCAATATTATTTTTTTCTTTCTTTGTCCAGGTAGTGTACTTTACAGCTACATTCCCCTATGTAGTTCTCATCATCCTTCTTATAAGAGGAGTAACTCTACCTGGAGCTGGAGCTGGAATCTGGTACTTCATCACACCCAAGTGGGAGAAGCTAATTGATGCTATGGTGAGCTTATTATTGCACTTCTAACTCTGCTAGGGTGAATAAGTCACACGGAGTTCTTGGTGTCTGTTGGAAGCATTTTCTGTGTGCAGGGGCAGTATTGACATCTGTGGGAACTTGTTCCTCATCTTGTGTGGAGCGTTGTTGTGATGGATGCTTGGTACTTATGTGCACATAATATATAATATGTATTATTAAGATGTGTTATTTACTTTAATAATTCACCTAAATCTCTGAGCAGCTGCACCTGGAAAATAGGGAGTTAAAACCGAGGTGTAGGTTTTCATACACTGGTGTTTGTTGGATACTGTCTTGACTTGAACAAACACATGAAACTTTTAATAGGTAACATAATAAACTTATGTGCATTTCTTGAGAAATGCTCTGAACAGGTGTTGCACTCATTGAACAAAGATTGTTCTGAATGATGCATATGAGACTTTAAACAAAATCAATTTATACATCCTTCTCTAACTCCCCAGTAGCATTTACACTGGCCCAGAAGAGCTGTGGTCCCTGTCCTGCCTGCACGGTGGGCAACAACCTGCTGGCTGTGTGAGAGAGGGCAGAAGTGGCTTGGTGCCTGGCTTTGCTCCTTGACTCTGCGAGGTGGAGCTTCAGCTCTGCTGCCTTGCTCGTGATTTCAACTGATTTCTAAAAAAAAGCCATTTGTGGCCAATGGAGCCAGTCAAACGTGCCAAAAATACACATTGATTTGTGTCTGTGTAGACCTAAATCCATCCATGGATCTCATATCTGTCTGATACAGCACGTCAGTGCCTGTGTTGGCTTTAGCCTGGAGACTGGAGCCTGAGCTACGAGTTGCCATCCAGAGTCTTTTCTTCAGCAAATTCAGAGCAATTTTTAGCAACACCTCAGGAAATTTACTGCTTGGTTTTGGGTGTTTTGATTTTTTTTCTTAAGATTTTTTTTTTTGCTCTATCACTAGCAGTGTGATTTCTTGCTGATAGATTGGTAATTAAAACCAAAGACAACTTTATAGATAAATTGTTCAGATTTTAATTTCCTTGATATCTCAGCAAATAATTAGTATTTTGGTCCTTTGGTGATGCATGAAATATTTTTAATTTTGCATTAAATATGAGCATTTTTGGACCTTATGTTGTGCAGTAAAGGTAAGAACTGCTGTCTCTTGCAAAATGGGTCTGTCAGTATCTGTATAACCCTGGGCAAGTGTTTGATGATATTCAGGGGAGCATCTGTTTTTAGATTTCTTTGCAGTGTAATGTGGATTAATCCTCGGTTAAATGAAAGAATGACTGCTTGCTGGCTGGTAACTTTTATAATAGTCTTTAAGTAATATCTTCAAACTGGTTTGTGTGCCTAGGTAAACCTTTGTGTCTGTATGTGCATGTTTCTGCACTGTGGACTTGGGTGGAAATTCAGACTTTGTAGGAAAATAGAAATATCCACACTACAAACATTTTGCAAGGAATAAGTAAGACCAACTCCTTTAAAATTCTAGCTAGTTTAGAAATGTTTTAGCTAAATGCATTGAAGGCTTTGAAGGACTTTGTTACAGAAAAAAAACAATGTTGTTGGGTTGGTTTGTGTTTTTTAAGAAATCCTTGCCTAAGCTTATCTTTTTTTCTGATGGGAGAAAAATCTTGGTGTAGAACAAGCCATAACTTACACTGTGCTGTTTGATGTACCTCTGATGGTGGAAATTTATTCTAATTTTAATGTACTCTCATTCATAAGTAGTATATTAACGAACACTGAGGTTCTTGCTTTTAATCACAAAGATTATTTAGGACCACTGGCAGATAAAACATCAGCACCTGATGCAGATTTTCCCTCTTGTTTTGTATTTTCTTCGTCAAATGTATTTGAACTGATGTGTCAAGCAGGTTTGAATATTTGTGCCTTCCATATACTGCAAAGGTTATATTGTCCTTTTGTGTGGGCTTTACAAAAACAGTGCTCCTCATCAGATGGGCACTAGGTAGTTTGGACAGGATTTTTATTTTAAATGTTCTATTGACATCCATTGTTCTTAAGTTCACTTAAACTACCTGTGTGATAATCCCCTAACAGTAACATTTAATAGAGTTATTGATCTTCCTAATACTCTTTCCTGAAGCTGATGCTATTTCCTCTCCTGTCTATCTTTCTTAGGTTTGGAAGGATGCTGCTACTCAGATATTCTTCTCCTTATCTGCAGCATGGGGAGGTCTAATTACTCTCTCTTCTTACAACAAATTCCATAATAATTGCTACAGGTATGTGAGAGTGAAATCCATCAGTCTTATTAAACAAGTCTTGTCTAAAAACAGTTGTCTTCCAACTTGAAGAAATCTATTTTGAAAGATTCCTCATTTTTAAAAATATTCCCCCTTGTCTTTTTCTTTCCCCTCTTGTCTTTTTCTTTTCCTCCTTTCTCCCCCTCCCCTCCCCCCCCTCGAATTTTTTTTCCTCTTTTTCTTTTTGGTAGGTGGCTTGTGTTGTTGGTGTGTGTTTTTTTTTGTGTTTTGTTTTGTTTCTTCTCCTTAGGTCCTAGTCTACAAGTCTTGAGATGAGCCTTAGGCTTCTTATAGTCCTCATTGGTTCTTCACTTTCAAAACCAGCAGGTTTAGGCTGAAAGGCAAACTGTGAAGCTGTGAGCAGTGGGATGAAACCACAGTGGTTGGCAGCCTCTGCTGAAGAACAACCCTTGTTGCTAGAATGGGCTCAAGTTTGTCATTGTGAGATAGGTCCTAGTCTACAAGTCTTGAGATGAGCCTTAGGCTTCTTATAGTCCTCATTGGTTCTTCACTTTCAAAACCAGCAGGTTTAGGCTGAAAGGCAAACTGTGAAGCTGTGAGCAGTGGGATGAAACCACAGTGGTTGGCAGCCTCTGCTGAAGAACAACCCTTGTTGCTAGAATGGGCTCAAGTTTGTCATTGTGAGACCTGTATGAGCTTAACATGCAATTTCCATACACATGCCTCTTGTTTTTCTTAAATGTTGTAATTATTTCCAGTTACTCCTAGCATGGTTTTACATGTACAAAGATGTTTCAGGTTGTGAAATTTAAAATTGCTCTGTGTTTAGTCACTGAAAGCTGTTTTTACAGGGGGGAAAAAAATCATTGCTCTTGTGGCATAGTAGTTATTCATCAAAAATCATGTCAGATAAATGTCTCCAGATGTAAAAAAGAAAAGCACACGGTATTAGGAGAATGCTTCACTGCTATTTTGTCTTTAAATCTGATCTTGTTTCTGCTGAAGCAAAACTTTTCTGATTCCTGCAGTGACAGAGGTGCTGACTCGGGACAGCCAGCAGCATGCACAGGGACCATCCCAAGGGAATGCTTAAAATCCTTCCCAAGTCAAGACTTGAAAGCAAATGCTCCTTGGGATTTGAACTCCCATAGCCTGTCACCTCTAAGTACTGTATACAGAATACTTACCTGCAAAAAGAAATGTGGAATGGGTGTTTAAAAAAAAAAAGATTCCCACTAGTTCTCAACAGTAGTTTAATATCATTATCCTAAAATATGGATGAATAAGTAACAGTGGTGCCTACTTGGTAACTCCTACCCAGCAATCTTTTGGGTCCTATTTTTAAAAATGTTTGTCTTAGGTTTTGATTTTTTTTTTTTTTTTTAAGTGGTGAATGAACACATTCAGAAAATCAGGGCAAAAAGTGGGAGAAATGTGCTGCTATCTTTCTGCCTTCATTTAGCAATGTTTTGTGGAGTTCAGAAAATGATGAAAATTTTGAATTATATGCGTGGTAATGAAGTACAGAAATCTTACATATCTAATACCAAATAGATGCTCTACCTATGTTATAGAGGGATATGGGAGACTGAAGCAGAAATAATTAGAAAGGCTCAGTTAATTCTGAACTGGTTAATTTTACAACATGTCTTGAATATTCAGATGAAGCCTAACTATTTTCCCTTAAGATTTTTATTTTCATTACTGTGGATAAAATTGTAGTTCTCAGTTACATATCCATTTTAAACATCATTAAATAGTCTATAATAGCAGTAAATTTACATAAATTCACTTCATAATGCACACCTAATGTATTTTACTTCAAACTTCTCTGGGTTTTGGAAGAATTAACACATGATGACGCCAAACAGAACATTATACTTTGTTTCTGTGGATTTGAAGAATTAACCTAATCATTGCTGTTAAGAGATGCTCTGTTGGAGATTCCAGAAGTTTGCCAGCTCAGTGAGGTTCTTAACAGCTTTTCAGGTTTTGTTCTTTTCCTGACAAAATAATGGCAGTGTAGGAATAAGGAATTCTAGCCAACTCTGAAAAGCGTGTGAAGTGTGTGATTTGTTTCTTCCTCAGTCATATTCATTTATTGGATGCACATATTTTGAGGACAAAATAAGAATCCTATCTAGAATGTAATAACTATGGGTGGGGATCCTGGGGGTTAGTTTCCTGTTGAGTCACGTGGACTTCTCCAGTACAAGGTGGCATTCAGTTATGGGTTTCTTCGCATTCCCATAACAGCAACAGAGAACTGTACCAAGGAATCCTCTACAGACTGCCAGGTGGACCAGCACTAAAGAGAGTGCTGCAAGGTACAGAAAGCTTAGCCCTGAAATTGTATCTATAGATACAAAACAGATACAGGACAAAAAGCATCTTATCTAGACAGTGATGATTGAAGTCCACCTATAACACAGTGAGCAGATACCCACATTGGGCAAGCAGCAGAACGCTGGTTACAGCTGGTGTCACTGGTGCTGCCTTTGGTGAGGCCAAGAGCAGCAGTGCTCATCCTCCTGCGTGTCCTGTGGCTGCAGCATGTGGGTGATGGGAGCTTGCACAGCCAATTTCTGGGGTGTTGTGAGGACTTCGGTCACCTCTGATCATCATCGTACATACCTGATAAGTGAGAGAGACTCCTTAACTGTGTACAAAACCCTCCTCCCTTGCACGTGTTACAACGAGGTGATGTGCTTTCTTGTGTTCTCCTTTCAGGGACACGTTGATAGTGACATGTACCAACAGTGCCACAAGTATATTTGCAGGCTTTGTCATCTTCTCGGTTATTGGCTTCATGGCAAATGAGCTCAAAGTGAACATTGAAGCTGTGGCAGATCAAGGTAGGCTATGCTGCTGTCTTGTGACTTCGGCACCTGGTGGGTCCTTCAGCTCTAGTATTGATGATGGTATTGGAGGTGCGAGTAATGGCTTCAAACTGGAAGGGATTAGTAAACCACTTGTTGGCATTTCTGTATGGGAGAAGGTATGCTGGGAAGCAAAACTGGGAACCAAGATGCTACTTCAAGCCTCCTTATCACTTGTTTGGTAGTAGAAAGAAACAAGCTGAGACTCATTTCAAATCTTTATGTAAATGAGGGGTGTGGGGTAGGGTGAAATGTCTCCTTCACATAATCTGAGCAACCGCTGGATTTCTATTTCTGCTGCTGCCTTGTCAGGTCCTCCAAGGTAAAAGTTGCCCTTGATGGTGGGAATCTTGGATGAGAGGACAGCAGGCTTTGCAATGTGGGGAGTGGGAGAAATATGGTTGTAGAGGAGTACTGAGGTTCTGAACTCTGGGGAGGAAGGAGCTGCCTCTGTGGGAAAGTGAAAAATTTCTGAAGAACACACTAGAAGATCTTGATTAGTGAAGGGAGATTTTTACAAATGAAGATCTGAAAGGTCTTAATTATCTGAGAGTGGGAAGTGTGTGAATGACAGAAAAGTTGGTGGTGGAACATGATTTGGTGTGAATCAGTGGGAGATGGGAAGGGAGGAGTTTTGGGGGTAAGGTTCAGAGAAGTCTAAAGGGTTGTAAAAGCCTGATGGCATTATAAAGGGAAATCTTTGCCTTAGTCTAGTTCTATTTTCCTGTCCAATGTGCAGCACTTTGGCTCTAAGCCAACCAGCTCCCAGTAATTTAAGATCTGTTTTGAAAGACAAATTTGTGATAACTGTAATAATTTCTATAAGTATTTGCAATTCCCCCTCCCCGAGCTGTTTGTGAGCACAGGGGGGTGTTCAGTGTACTGTGTTAGCCTTCAGCACAGAGTCATTTCCAAACACTGCAGGGAAGTGACTAATGGCTTCTCCATGAGCCTTGGGGGTGGTTCCCAGTGTTATCCCCTTAACCCAAGAGAGCACAGAGCAAGACAAGGCTCTGAATGAGAGGACAGAAGGTTCAAAAAAGTGAATCTTGCATACTCGTGGCTTCTGTGTGGCATGTTTCACTGTCTGCACTGGTGTGAGAACACTAAACATTTTCTGACAGGATGTGGTGTTGGATAGATTCAATGCCACAAAGTCCTACATGTAGCCTAGGGCACCTGACTCACTGAGCATCATGAGATTGTAGCAGTGAGTTGACAATAGGGGATAGAAATCAAGACAGCCTTCCAGACTTCCTGTACTGTAATGTTCATAGGTCATGCTGGACAAACTGGGTATGAAAGTTAATCTGCACTGAACAATGTTGTTTGAGCTAAGCAGAGAACAGACAACATGAGCCTGGGACATAGAAATCCTGTTGTAGGAACAAGAGCCAGTGAAGCATTCTTTATTTGTTTTTCAACAATGCCTTTTCTTGGAGCTCGAATGTTTGTAATAGTTTATTAGAAAGCAGCTACTAAGGTGAGAGGAGGAGAGGAACAAGATCTTGCTGCAGGTTAAGAAATAGAAAATGCTCTTATCTTCCTTTTGCTTATTCCTTCCCTGTAAACTGAAACATGGAAAATCCCACACATTTTGCAGTACTTCTGACCTCGTGGATGCAAATTAAGGTGCCAGGTCACATGCAATTTCTGCAGCTCCCTAGGCTGGGACCTGGCAGGTCAGTCACAGTGAGGTAGTCTGGGGCTTTCACCAGCTGACCTGTGGTGGGATGGGCTGCTAACAGGGCTGCAGAGTCAGCTGGAGGGTCTGAGAGGAGAATTTTGTAGGATGATCAGCTGGCAAATGGTTTCTTGGTAGCAAGTAATAGGGAATGCTTCCCTTGTAAACTAATGTAATGTTAATTCAGTCTTCAGTGCCTCTCTCTTCTTTTTGGGCTGCCAGTCAGCTAAGTGGGAAGACAAATTTTCAGTCTTATCCCCATTTTCTGGCTGGGTTAGACCATTGTGTTTGAAAAACTCCATGTGAAGCCAGGTGTTTTAGGAGTTTCGATTAATCTTTTTATTTTAGACTTTACCTCCATCCTGAAACAATCAAACAAGCAAAATCAAACCCACTCAGCACTCACCAAAATTATTTGTAAGGCGTTAGTCAAAGAAGCTGTGCTCAAGTGAAGTTGTAGTGGAAGCTCCAAAGAGATGGACAGAAGGGGGGTAGAGAGATGTGGCTGTTAGGGATGGTAAAGGAAACACTTGGTTCAGCTGGTTCATCTCCATGGAGATGGCCCAATATTGACTGCTGGGGATCAGAGCCCCTTCTCTGTTGAGTGCTTGGTGGTGGTCTTTGAGGCAGCGATGAGGCACAGGCTGGAGCTCCCTGTTCCCAGCTGTTTCAGCAGCTGTTCCAGGGGATGTGAAAAGGCTGTCAGAGAGCTGTCAGTGCCTTTGGAAGAGCCCATCTAGGCAATTTGCCATTATGTCATGGAGGTGAGGATTCACTGCTCTCCATGATAGGGGAAAGCAAAATTCAGTCCCATGGTAGAAGATGGCTGTACAGCAGGAGGAGAGTGGGGATTAGGGGTAATGCCAGACTGCGTTAACATGTTGAATTAACAGAATTAAAAAAGCCAACTCAGCAAGTGGGGAAAAGAGCCAGTCCTTTTGCCTGCCTGCCTTTTTTGATTCTATAGCTGTATTTCTTGTTGCAGTGAAGGAGAAAACAACGAAAATTATGATCATCTCCATTCAGGTTTTTAAAACTTTGAATGAAAATTTTAGTGGCAATAGGAAGGGAATTCCCCCTCCCCCAGTAAGAATCTGAAATACACAGTATTTTTTGTATTTAGAATCTTCCTTTCAGGAAAAAATCATGGACCTGGTGAGCAGATAAAACAGTTTTTATGGATGGAAAAATAGGACAATCTATTTTTGTTCTGCTCTCATTGATTAAGAACACACTGCAGTAGAAAAAAAAAATTAAAATTCAGTTGTTTTTTTTTTTTTTTTTTGTATGAACAACATAAACTTTCGAAATCTTCATGGCTTTAACAGACCTTTAGAGAAGAGTTCATATCCCTCTAAAACTTGGAAGAGGGAAAAGATGGAGCCAGCCTCCCTGTGACTCTTT